AAAAGAAAAAGTGCAAGCTTGGGGAAGGTAATTCTTATCAGAAGAAAAATAAATGGAGGGAAAATTCACTCGAAACAGCGTTAGCCATCTGAGCAGGTGGCTTTGACTTATTCCATCTGCCAGAAAAACAGTAAGATCCAACTTCTTTTATAACCAGTAAAACAGAAGCTCGAAAATCTGTTTGTCTGTCTGCATGTTTATGTGTGTCTCTATACGTGTGTTGTAGTTGTGCGAAATTTTTTACCTCTGGATGATATTACTAAAGTTAATTTGTATTAGACTTGTCTTTGAATGATTAAATACATAACCACTGCATGTAAACTTCATAGTCATAAAAACTCTCAAAAATATAATAGAAACGCAACCACAGGAATTTGAGTTTTGCGTGATCTGGGAAAAATATTCGGTGTTAAAGCTAGTTTCAGTTTGTTGGTTTATTCAAAACAGGTATGTCTTTTGGGTTATCAATATTAAATATAAAACTTTTATTGTACCTGAGTTTGCTAACCAATAACTTATTTCTTATAAGATCTGTCAGGAAGAAAAATAGTGTGAGGGTAATGGCTGACTTTGTCTAATTTTTTAATTTTTTAAATGTTTATTTTTGAGAGAGAGACACACACACAGAGTGCAAGTCAGGGAGGGGCAGAGAGAGAGAGAGAGAGAGAGAGAGAGAGAGAGAGAGTGAGATACAGAATCCAAAGCAGTCTCCAGGCTCCACGCTGCAGCACAAAGCCCGACATGGGGCTCGAACTCGTGAACTGTGAGATCATAACCAGGGCTGAAGTCGGACGCTCAACCGACTGAGCCACCCAGGTGCCCCTGCAAATTTTTATTATGAATGAATGTTGAATTTCGTGACACTTTTGCATCTGTGTACAGGACTATGTGATTTTCCCCTTTGATCTTTTAAGATGGGTGATTACATTAATTGCTTTTCCCCCAGGTGTTCTTTTTCTGTATATCAGGTTTTTTGAAGCCTAACTTACCTACAGTAAAATACACCTTTTTTAGATATACAGTTTGTTGTATTTTGTCAAATACATAGTCATGTCACCACCAGAAAAATAGGGGCGCCTGGGTGCCTCAGTCAGTTAAGCCTCTGACTCTATCTTGGCTCAGGTCATGATTTCGTGGTTCATGAATTTGAGTGCTGCATTGGCTCTGCGATGATAGAGCCTGCGTGGAATTCTCTCTCTCTCTCTCTCTGCTTCTACCCCACTCATGTTCTCTCTTTCTCAAAATAAATAAATAAACTTAAAAATAAAACTACAGAACATTCACGTCACCATAAGAACTTTTCTTGTGCTTCTTTACAGTCAATCCTTTCCTCCTATTACCTCCTGCATGAGAGAGCAACTGATTTGACTTCTGTCCCTTACAGTTTTGCCTTTTCTTGTATATTATATTTAAAGAAGCACACAAGGGGCTCCTGGGTGGTTCAGTCGGTAGAGCACACGACTGACTCTTGATCTTGGAGTTGTAAGTTCAAGCCCCATGTTGGGTGTAGAGATTGAAAATAAGATCTTGGAAAAAAAAAAAAGTTCCCTAGATAGAAAATTCTGTTGGTTGCAAATAAAGGTAGTGTACTTCTTTCTTACCAATCTAGAAATTTTTCTTTTTCTTGCTGAATAGCACCGACTAGAATTTTCACTAAAATAATGAATAGAGACAAACATCCCTGCATATTTCCTGATCTCAGAGGGAAAAACATTTCCACTTTTACCACCAATTATATTAACTGTAAAACCTACCACTGACATGGTTTACTGCTAGCAGATGAAAAAGCACCATTCTATTTCTAGTTTGAAGAGAGTTTTAAATCAGGAATGGATATTGGATTTTCCAAATGCCTTTTTTGTGCCTTGACCTGAAAACCATCGAAGCGGTAAGCTTAGACAATTGTACCGGTGTCCTTTGTTGCCTCATGTCTTGTGTCTAGAAAATATTATTTCTTATATTTTGCGTGTGTTTGTTATTGATGTTTTTCTGTTTTCAGATGGGAGGGTAATTCCAGTCTTTTGTGCTGTGTCTTAGCCAGAAGCAGAAGTACAGATTTTTACAGCATTGGATGCATTTCAATCACTGTAGTTTTTACTCTTTTTGATGCTCAAATTGTTCCATCTTTGTCCAGCTGAATCCCTGCAAGTTTGGCTCCTGTGTCCTTTTTTTTTTTTTTTTACCTTTCTTTATTTTTGAGAGAGAGACACACACACAGAGTGCGAGCGGGGGAGGGGCAGAGAGAGAGGGAGACCCAGAATCCAAAGCAGGCTCCAGGCTCTGAGCCATCAGCACAAAGCCTGATGAGGAGCTCCAACCCGCAAACCGTGAGATCATGACCAGAGCTAAAGTCAGACGCTTAACCGACTGAGTCACCCACGTGTCCTGGCTCCTGTGTGTCCTTTTGATATGACCCAATAATCTTGGATAGCTTCCCTGCCTTGGGTACCAGGCTTCTCTTGCATATTCCCTGCCTTGTCCTTGTGATCAGCCATTTCTCTAAAGGAACCCTTTCCCATTAAAGGGTAACTAAGAGACCCTAATTTATTTTATTGCCATTGGGTTGTTATTTCTTCTAGGCCTTGGAGTAGATAGAGATAGGAGAAAAATCGGGGGGGAGGGGAAGAACCACAATTTGATTCCTGTTATTTTCAATGCATATGTTAGACAACAGGTTTTTCCAGTTAACTTTTTTGAAATAATATATTTTTAATTCTTAATTAGATTGTAGTGTGGCTACAGACTCTGGTCAGGATAGCGGAACAGGACCCACAGCCCTGCTCTCCGTCATCCAGCTCAGGGAGTTTCTCTTCCTTCCCCACTCATCTAGTCTGTGTCCTGAGCCTTGGCTCCAGCCTCTGCTCAGGGTGGAAGTGTAGACCCAGGGTGCTGGGATGTTCTAGGTGGGGAGGACAGCGGGGTTTTTGCATGAAGCCACCTTGTTCCCTAGGGTATGAGCCCCCACTCACCAGCACTGCCTGAACCTTCTGGCCCAAGGGACTTTCCGTTTTTGCAGTCTTGGGCCTGACACCTCGGGAGATAATGCCAGCTCAGCGTTGAGTGTCTTGGGGAGAGTGAAGACACCCACCAAAAGGGGGGCTTTTCTACCAGGACCCAAGGCACCAGGGGCCCAGACCACAGACCTCTGAGAGACATTGGCCAGGGATGGAATCACCACTTTAGCTGTTGGCTGCTTGCCTTCCAAACTGTCAAGTACATTTTTTGCTGTCTGTACCTCTTGGAGTGGTGTTACTGCCCACACACATATCCACAAGGAGACTCAGAACTGAAATTCAGAAATCTAACTTACTGTATTTCATTTTCAATCATCACCTATATGTGGGAACCTGTACTTTCATGATGTGGAAAGTGCGGGTGCCCAGGAGAGATACTTACCAGGTTTCGGCAAAGCTATATACATAGGATTGTGTGTAAGGGCTGGATAAGGTATGCTGACCACTCTCCTGCAGAAGTCTGATGCGGGATTTTCCTGTTAATTGTAAATCTAAATGCTCTCTTGCAGGGGAGACATATAGTAGATCCCTTTGTTTTTTCCAACAACACAAGCTATTTTTCACTTTGAAATTTAAAAATTTTATAAAATGATCGCCTGGCGAAAGACTACATAACAGACAAAATATCCTTCTATTTCTGTTAAACTGCATATACACTATTGTTCCCCAGGCGGCCGACTTTAGCATACCACAGTACAATTTCATGTTAACAAAACAGTGAAAAGACAACTTTGTGAAGATCTAATTACAAAAGTAAATCAAAGAATTTACATTTAAAGAAGAATATTGACTGAAACGAATATAGTTTAAGATTACTCTGTGGCTGGTTAGGAAGTCATATATCATGTTATCATGTTTCCATTTGCCTGGTAGTCTCTGTTAAATATTTAACGTATATATTTAAACATTTAAAAACATTTACGTCTGAGGTTAACTGGTATCTGTGTCATTTCCTTGAAAAAGACAAGAACCAGGATCTGGGTTTTTGGTGGCTCAGTCAGTTAAGCATCCAACTTTGGCTCCGGAAATGATCTCATGGCCTGTGGGTTTGAGCCCCACTCAAGCTCTGTGTTGACAGCTCGGAGCCTGGATCCTGCTTCATACTCTGTGTCTTCCTCTCTCCCTGCCCCTCCTCTGCTCACATTCTCTCTCTTTCTCAAAAAATAAGTATTTAAAAACATTGAAAAATATATCTTTTGTAGGTTGTGAAGTTTACACATAATTTTTTAAAAATGCAAAAATTTGTAAAATGGATTTTCACAGTTAAGAACAACAAACCCCAATAATTACACAACAGCTATCAGACAAGATGGGGTCCCTCATTCTCGGGGGGGAAAACTAGACTTTTAAATCAGGCTGAATGATCACGAGAAACAAAACTAGTCAGCACAGCCTGACGTGACAGGCTGTACAAAATTCAGCAATATTCGCAGAAAGACCCCTGCGACACAGCTTATCGTGTTCTTCAAGGGGCTGCCACATTCTGAAGCTGCTCAGGAAAGCGAGCTGTATCCTGCTTGTCACTCTGCTCCTGAAGTTGCAGTTTGGGACCTGAGTCTGACCGGCCTTGATAAGGGCAGAGAACTTGGAGAGTGCTTTTAGTTCGTAGCTCAAGACTGAGACTCTCGGGTTTGCAAACTGTAGGGCAGTAATGCTTACCCTTGCCTCTAACCTAATCTTTGCATTCCAGGAACCAAGAATATGTAGAAACGAGCGGTTAAGTTTCCATATTTTTAAATACATACCCACTTTTCCCACAAAGGGTGCTAGAGAAGAGAAGCGGTTAGAGATGCAGAAAGTAGCGGCTTCAGCCTCCTCGGCTCCCAGGAAAACTTTCTCCAGCCTTATGACATTTGGCCCTTCCCGGACACCGTAGACCGGGCTGCTGCGATGATCTCTGGGAAATATAGTTCGAAAGGAAAAGCACTGCGGTTTAGCCGAGGCACCCGTTTGCTCTCTCCTGCGCAGGCGCAATTGCGCCCGGCGGCCTGGCGGCGGAGGCGAAAAATGTCCCCAGGCTAGGTATTCCGCTGGTCTCCAGTGCGGTCGGCCGCTTGGAGTCCCCGTCGCGGCGGGCTCAGGTAGTGGCTGCCGGTGAGAACCGGCTCGGGGTGTACAGCTCCTGAGGCGGGTCCAGGGCAGAGGGCCGGTCGCGGCGCGAGTCTCAGCCGAGTCCCGGCTCTGGGCGTCCGAGCCGCGGCGGCCTCAGCAGGTGAACGCGGCCGGGCTAGGAGGCGTTGCCCGGACAGGTCTCCACTCCCGCGTCCTCCCACCCCGGGAAAGCGGAGCTGTCACCGCCTGAGCTCCAGCCTTGGGCACGGCTCCTGGAGAAATGGCCCCAGAACCGAGATTGCGAGAAGCTATGCCCTGTTGCAGGGTCCATGAATCCTGGGGCTGTTTTTTGCTGGTAGCGTTTGTCGCTTTCTCCCCGCCCCCATCTCACTCCGAGTTTAAACTTTATTTTGTGTTCATCAGTTTTTGCCATCTTTGCTTGTTCGGTACTTTTCCCAGAGGGAATCCTCGGATGATTTGTCTGTTCTCTTTATTGTTGTTGTTTAGATTAATTTTGTCCTTTTGCTGAGTTCCTTCCCTTTTCTCTAAATGTTAAGTTCATTTCTAGCCAGCGTTGCTCTTTCTTTCGAGGCTTGTGGTGTTTCGAGCCAGGAGAGGAAGGTGGATGGATAATGTTTTCATTTATATTTAAGGAGGTTTGATAATTCTTCATGAAGGAAGCACAATTCCCAAGAGGAAGAGAAGAGAGGGCCAATTTTTGGTTGGCTCTTCCTGAAAAGGACTCCAATTTCCTTGACATGTTATGTGAAGAATCATTTTAACTATCATGTTATTGTACTTTGTTGTTGTGCATGATGTATAATTGCATGTTACATTAGGTACAATATATTTATTACAATTACATTATTATAGTACAGCCCCAAATATTTAAATGCAGATGTGTGGAATATTTGTGTTATTTCTCATTAATGGAACAGCTCTGGGAGCCCAGCACGAATGCCCTTTACTCTGTTCATGTACATCAGTTGGTTCTAATTCGTTAGTTTGATTTCTCCTTATTTAGAAACCACTAGCTGAAAGGCAGCAGGCCCAGTAACCGGAAGTATGCTTGCTGCCCCCTCCTGGTTTTGGTGGCCGTGCCCACGGACCCCACGGACCTTCTGACTCAGGAATGCCTGGGCTACCTTGTTCCCTCTGACTTCTCTCTGCAGGGTGCTCATTGTGTGGAGATTTCTAATTTAGTCAGGCACAAGGAGGGTGGGAGTACAGACAGGACGGAGAGACCTCACTGTTTCTTTCTCTGTTTCAGGTGCCTTCTTCGGGACTGTCGGCAGGGAGGGAGAAATGGCCACAAGGTTGCTGCCAGCCCAGGCTCCGGTGAGTGGAGGCTTTTTTCTTGAACTGCCTTCCTGGCTCAGAGGTCCTGATCACAATCACGCGTAAGCCATTGTTGAGGTTTACAAGGCAGCGAAGCCCACGGAAGGCCTGGTAGGGGAACTTTGGATGGAAAGTGTTTTTCTAGTGTCAGCGCCAGTCTCATTGTGAATTCCCCACTCCACCGTTTCATTGGTTAGGTGGTGCCCCCAGGCCCAAGCCAGTGCCCCACACAGAGGTCTGTGAGGGATCTAGGTATGTTTTTTCCCTATGAAGGGCGGAAACTTGGGGAAGTCAGATAATTCTTTCTATAGCATTAGGAATTTAAAGAGAAAATGTATGGGCTCTACCCTCAAGGCACTGAGGGCCAATCAACTACAGTAGTCCGGGGTCCAGGTGATTTTCTAGGAAGTTCCAAGAAAGAAGACCTCTGAATCAGCAAGTGTGGTCACAGATACGTCCTAGTACTGTTGACTCTTGAGCAATGCAGGGGTTTAAGTATTGCCTTGACCCAGCCCATCCTGAAGGAGTCGCTGAAATGTCTTGATCTTATTTCAAGAAAGTATGCAAGGACAGACACACAACACAGTGCATGAGTGACACAGCAGGAAAGTTTATGAAAGTGAAAAGTATACTCACAAGTTAAGAGCAGGCAAGCTCAAGAGAGAGCTTTGCATCCTGGGTTTTGGGTTTTTATCTTTTAGAAAAAATTTTTTAAAACTTTTATTCATTTTTGAGAGACAAAGAGAGAGCATGAATGGGGAGGGGGCAGAGAAAGATGGAGACACAGAATCTGAAGCAGGCTCCAGGCTCTGAGCTGTCAGAACAGAGCGCGAACCCACAAGTGGTGAGATCATGACCTGAGCAAAGTCGGACTCTTAACCGGCCAAGCCACCCAGATGCCCCTGGGTTTATATCTTTTATTTATAGTTTTTAACTAGGGATATTCTACTTGGGACAGGAATACAGGGTTTCAAGCTTTTTCTTCCTAATTTGCTCAGGGGTTTCCTGTCCTGGCATCCTTTATCTTCTTGGGCCTGTCTGACTTCATCTGGCTTCTTGGGGAGTACTGCCAGGACAGGCCTCTGACTTTCCTGATAGCTGGCCATGACTTCCTCGTTGCTGGCCTCCTGGTATCCGATAGGACCTAACTAGCTGCCTACTCTAACATAAGGGCTCAGGCTCTGACCCTTCCTGCGTCCCCAGGCCCCCAGAAATCTACATATAACTTTTACTTTTAAGTTTTTATTTAAATTTTAGTTAGTTAACCTGTAGTGTAATATAGGTTTCATGAGAAGAATTTAGTGATTCATCATTGACATAAAACACCCAGTGCTCATCGCAGGTTCCCTCCTATCGCCTATGCCCCGTCGCCCACTTAGCCCATCCTCTGCCCACCTCCTCCATCCACCCTCAGTGAGTGCTCTAGAGTTAAGAGTGTCTTATGGTTTGCCTCCCTCTCTTTTTTTCCCCCTTCCCCCGTGTTCATCGGTCTTGTTTCCTAAATTCCACATATGAGTGAAATCATAATGGTGTTTGTCTTTCTCTGACTGACTTATTTCCCTTGCATTATACACTCTAATTCCATCCATGTTGTTGCAAATGGGAAATTCACATATAACTTTTAACTCCTCCAAAAACTTTAACTACTAATAGCCTACCTATTATTGGCTGGAAGCCTTGCCAATAATGGCTGATTGGCACATATTTTATATGGTGTATGTATTATCTGCTGTAGTCTGGGAGAGCGTGAGTGAGGGAGGGGCAGAGAGAGAGGGGGAGAGTCCCAAGCAGGCTCTGCACTGACCGTGCCCGACACCAGGCTCAAATTCACGAACCGTGAGATCATGAGCTGTTGAAAAGACTTACGGTAGTGCCGCCGTCCACAGTTTCCCTCGCTGCAGTTTCAGCCACAAGATGACTTGCCTTTGGACACATCACCCCAAGGTCAGAGTTGGTAGTAGCTGTGCAGTGCATCGCAAAGCACAAAGTCTGCACCATACTCAACTCATCTCATGTGGGCATTTTATCCTCCCGTGTTGTAACCAGACCACCGTGAGTTCGCTCCCGGGCGAGTCACAGATAGAAGCTACACCAGGTGAGATGAGGCACGAAGGACACTTTATTTGCAGCAAGTAAGGAGACCACAAAGAATAACTTCCAGAGGCGTGACTCCCCAAGCCAGGGTGCACTGGTTCCTTTCACTGAGGGCTGAGGTGAATATTTAAAAAGAGGATCCTTGTCGGGGCACGTAGAGGTGTGTAGAGGCGGGCACAGGGTGAAGCCTGCACCATAAGGAAACAGGCCTGTGCACACATTGTTTGTTATGCAAGTGAGGCGGGAAAGTGTACTATTCTAATGAGGTGAGGGTAATTGTCTGTCATTCTGGAGGACACCCCATAGTCTGTCCGTGCAGGCATGAGTGAGGGGCTTAAGCTCAGACTGGCCTGGGAGGTCTGGGCCGGCTGGACAGTCTTGTAGGGCGGTCGCTATTGCTGGAGGGGCGGTTTTGCTTGCCATTTGCCTGAGTTAAGAGAGAAGCTGGAAGGAGTTTAAGGAAAAATGTGGGACCGAGGTCAGTGAGTTTAAGCAGGTGGGCACTAAAGGCCAGGTCTTGGGGTCTAGCCAGTGACAATATCATTACGAGCAGAAGAAGGGTCCATACGGGACAGTAAGATGTTTTGAGAGGGCGAGAGTACGTTCACATAGCTTTTGCTACAGGATATTGTTATAATTGTTCTATTTTATCGTTAGCTACTGTGATCTCTTACTATGCCGAATTTATGAATTAAACTTATTATAGGTTTGTATTTACAGGGGAAAAACAGCGTATACAGGGCACGGCACTATCCAAGTTTTAGGCACCCCCTGGGGGTCTTAGAACATATGCCGCTTGGAGAAGTGGGCACCGGCACGTGTAAAAGGATGAGGAAGAAACTCAGAAAAAAAGCAGAGGAGGTAGTGAGAGTCTTCTCCCTTATTTTCAGTAGCTTCTTATTTCTAATTTGTGTTTGCCTTTACAGGTCAGAGAATATCTGACCTTGTGACCGCCTTTCTGGGTTTGAGGGATGGTCGAGAGAAAGCAGGCTGTGACCGGACATTTCTACCTCTAGAAATGTGTCCTAAGGAAGTATGTTCTGTACACTTTTCCAGTAGTCCAGCATTCTGAGAGTGACAACGGGAAACAACGTAAATAACCACTAGTAGATTAGTTAAGTAAACCAATTCATCTATACAAGTAAAAAATGTTGAGTGGGATACAGTTATATCTGTATAATACTTCATTGTTGTTTAAACCTAGAACTATCTTAGCAAGTAAAAAGTTCTGAGAGACATACATACATATATACAGAAAGAAGTTAGCAACTCTTGTCTGTGGTAGGAGAAAGTTGAATAAACATTTCTTTTCCTTTTGCTTATTGACCTTTTCTAATTCACTTTTTTTAAAAGGATGTTTTTAAAGTTATTTTGAGAAAGAGAGTGAGTGGGGGAGGGGCAGAGAGAGAAGGAGAGACAGACTCCCAAGTAGGCCCCACGCTATCAACCCAGAGTCCATTGTGGGGCTCCAACCCATGAACTGTGAGATCATGACGTGAGCCAGAGCCAGGAGTCAGACACTTAACCGACTGAGCCACCCAGGCTCCCCTCTGCCTCCAACAAAAGATTTTTTAATAGGAAAAGAAAGGGGTATAAGAGAGGTGACTTGCAGGGCAGCAAGAAAAAAGGTAGAAGAACAATGGCTTCCACTTCCAGGGCAGAGAGGGGGTGTCCCACCCACAGCCTTCTCACCTGGCTCTTGTTGAAAGGTCCTGCGGCCCCCCACCCTGGGCCCTCTCCTGACAAAGCTATGCCTGTGAATGTCCGTGTCCTTTGGCCCAGGACACAGAGAAGCCCAAGGTGAGGACAGAATCTGGGCTCCCCTGTTCCTCCCTGAGTGAGCTGCTGGGGCCTCCTTCTAATGTCCGAGTCCCAGGTCTCAGCTGGAAAATGGGCGTTCGGTATCGGTGATCGCACACGTCCACGTCCCAAGTCCTGTGTTTCTGCTGTTGTGATTTAGTGGAATGATTTCAAGTGCTTCTCCCGTTCGGCCGCTGTGCCTTACCTTCCTGGGGGTACGGTGCATCCTTCCCAGCAGGTATGGAATAGGCATGTGCTCAGTCACATGAGGTGGCCGAGGACTCGGCTCCACATGCTCAGGACCTGCGTGGTGACCTGGCCGCTCAGTCATCCCTTTGGGACGATGGTCCCGGGTGAGCAGGAGTGGGTTTGTCATTGCAGGTGACCGTGACGTTCAGGGACGTGGCAGTGTTCTTCAGCCGGGACGAGTGGCTGCGCCTGGACTCGGCGCAGAGAACCCTGTACCGGGAGGTGATGCTGGAGAACTACGGCACCCTGGTCTCCCTGGGTAAGGACCTCCCCTGGTGATGTAGAACCTGCTGGGGGGGAGCATCTGGGCACCCTCCCCGAGGAGGACACTTGGAGGGTGTGGCCAGGTTCAGCCGGAGGTAGCTGTCCCCCGCCACTGTCAGCCAAGCTCTCGGTTTGGTAGAGTCGGTCACGGGCATTCTTTGTGTGCCTTTGCGGTTCTTTCACCCCAGACTCTGTCCCCCTGGATCTCCCAGGAGGTGCCCGTGTAGAGGAGTGCCAGTGCCCTGCCGTCCTCTGCGACAGGAATTTAAGGCCCTCTCAGAACCACTGTACCCTGCTGTGGAGCCCCAGGGCTGGACGTGGGTGTCAGGATGGCTGCTCATGCCTGCACCCCGGACTCATTCTCTTCTCCTTGCTCACGAACAGGAATTCTGTTTTCCAAACCAAAGGTTATCTTCCGGTTACAGCAAGGGGAAGACCCCTGGATGGTGGAAAATGGAGTTTCTCAAGGCCCCTGCGGAGGTGAGTGACATGATTGGGAAACGGGCATAGCATTTTCTTACCGCCTGGGTGCTGCCGGTCAGCGCAGAGCCCATGCTCAGGAGACACTGACCAGGGTCCTCCTGGGTGTGCCAGGCCACGTGGGAAATGCTGGGAAGGGCGTGGCCTCTCTCCCTCCACCTTTTTGAGTCCTTGATTTGAAGGTTCGGAGGGAGAGTCGAATTCTCCCAGGAGGGCCCCACTTGTATCAGTCATCATTTGTGATTAAAAAGAAAAATGTTTTTTTGTTTATTCATTTTTTTGAGAGAGAGACCAACAGCCACCCAGGTGCCCCTGGACTGATTATTTTCTTAAATTATCTTCTCTTTGTGATTTGAACAAATCTTCTGTCACTACAATATATCCCTCATTGCTCCATCTTGCATTTTTGTTTGACTTTTTTTTGATCTGCAACTTATGTATGGTTCAGCTAAAAAGAGAAAGCAGATGTACGTGTATTTATGTACTACATGAGAGAGAGAAAAATCAAATATAGGCAGAAGGTTTGCAGATACTCAATATGGCATTCTCCTAAATCTTTTGTGGGGAAATATTCAAAATACTACGTTCCAGCCCCGCTTGCCAGGACATACTTCTCAGTCTCTAAAACGCTATGGTTTGCTGGGTATATAAACTCTTACTTGCTTTTCTGCTTTGTCTTTGTTTTTGTTTTTGTTGTTCTTAGGAGGTGGATTCTGCTTTGTTTTATTTTGTTTTGTTGGCCTTTGATTTCTTTTGTTCTGTTTTGTCTTTGGTTCCAGCACCAGAGGGTGGGTCTCTCCTTTGCTCTGCTATTTATGCAGGGTTTATTTCTCTCAGGGGCAGGGCTCAGTCCTGTGTTTGCATTCATGAGCCTTGTCCTCCCGATTTTTCCCTTTGGTTTGACTAGACTATTTTCGTGAATAATGTTTTTAGAAAGGTTCGTGTGTGCTGTATTTGTGCATGTCTAGCATTATGATCTCTCCTGTGAGAATTATAGGTGTGGAATTCTTGCGTCAATTTTCTTCCCTTCATGCTTTGCTCTCGTGTCGAGCATTGAGAGTTATTGATAAAAAGTCCTCTGTTAGTTTCTTTTCCCCATATATTCTGTGTAGAAAGCCATTTTATCCCTCTTTTGGGGGTCTTCTGTCTAGAATATTATGGGATATTCTTATTTTTAGAATTCATAAGATTCATTAGGTTGTATCAAGGAGTTTTGTTTTAATATTGTTATTTGGCTTCACAGGGCCCTTTGCTTTGAAGGGCCAAGTCTTTTTTTTTTTTTTTTTTCACTTCAGGAATCTTTTTTTCTACTACACAGTAACATATATTCTGCCACATTTCACCAAGAATTGAAAGAAGCTAACTGTAAGAATAATGATAAAGTAAAATAGAAGTTCAGTCAGAACCTTAGAAAATAAATATGTTTGTGGTAAGGACCAGAGTGGTAGCCATGGGTGAATTTCAGATTTGTCTCTGAGCTTTCTGGTTGGTAAAGAAATCATTAGTATCAAATTGCCTGTGTTTGTCTTTTATAAACATTAAAAAAAAAATTAACTACTTTTAATTTATACAGGGTATACATGGTATTGTAGAAATGAGAAGAAAAAAAAGTTGATATTTTGCTAACCAACCATGATAAACCTTTGCTGATATTTTACTGTTTATCCATTCAGGTTGTGAACATTTGTTTGAGTGGATTTGTGCATGAGGGAAAGAGAAACATAGAGAAAAAGAGAGAGAGAAACAGATTATATATAGTCTCGGGGCGCCAGGGTGATTCAGTCGGTTGAGCATCCGACTTCGGCTCAGTTCATGATCTCATGGTTTGTGGGTTTGAGCCCTGCATCATGCTCCATGCTGACAGCTCAGAGCCTGGAGCCTGCTTCGAATTCTGTGTCTCCCTCTCTCTCTCTGCTCCTCTCCCACTCACGCTCTTCTCTCTCCTTCAAAAATAAATAAACTTTAAAAAAATTGACACGATAGCATCAACCTTCATTTGTTGACATGGAGAGAAGCCCACAATTTTTTTAAGAGGGGATAGGGGGCAGTGTAGTTTCAGCTCATTTTTATTTTTTAAGTACAAGTGTTTTCTCATATCCCCCAAAACTCTGGTGAGCAAAATTCCGTGTCTAGCAATGATCATGTTTGTATGTTGTGTTTATGGGTGAAATCTATTTCTGTATTTATAGTGTTTTGTGTTTTCAATTTTCTTACAGTGATTATATATCTTCTTTTTAAGAAAATAAAAGCTCTTCCATAAAATACATTCATTCTATTTGAAGCAATGATTCCACTGTTTCGTAAGTGATCAAAAAGTGGACTGAAAATTATTCTCAAGCATGCACCCCACTTCCAGTATGCTCCATGTCGTTATACGGCACCAGTCTCCCTCGAGCTGCCCAGGCCAGAAGCTGGACGTCGTTCTCAAGTCCTCTCTTTCATCTACTCCGTACATCCTCTTCATAGGTTGAGGACATTTGTCAACTCTGCCTTCAGAATGTCACGAATGTGCCCACGTCCCCTGCTGTGTCAGTGCACAGGCATCCAGTCTCCTAAGTGGCTGCTCTGCGTCTGCCCTTGTTTCCCCCACTCCCAATCACAGTCCATTTGTCACACACCGTTGTGATCCTTTTTATTTAAAAGAAAAAGAAAGAGGTTTTTTTCATACTTTTGAGAGAGACAGAGCACGAATGGGATAGTGGCAGGGAGGGCGACACAGAATCCGAAGCAGGCTCCAGGCTCCGAGCTGTCAGCACAGAGCCCGAAGCGGGGCTTGAAACCATGGATTGTGAGATCATGACCTGAGCTGAAGTTGGGTGCTTAACTGACTGAGCCCCCAGGTGCCCCGTGATCCTTTTTAAACAAAACTGCCATGCCTCCCCAACCCCCAGCGATCTTCAGAAGAAATTTCAAATGTCATTGTGTATCTTACAAGACCACACGTGATAAGGCTCCTGCCTACCTCTTTCCTTACACTGTCTTCTTGTTCCCTCTTGCTTAGGCAAGACTCCTGGACTTCTCTAGGCTCTTTGAACACTCAGAGCTTACTCTTGCCTTACGGCTTTTGTGCTAGCTGTTTTTCCTGACTAGAATCATCTTTATGCCCACATTTTTGCATGGCAGCTCTTGTTATTTAGATCTCATATATATATTTTTTGTGTTTATTTATTTTGAGAGAGTGTGTGAGCAGGCAAAGGACAGAGAGAGAGGGAGGAGATTCCCAAGCAGGTTCCATGCTGTCCGCACAGAGCCTGACATGGGACTCGATCTCACGAACCATGAGATCATGACCTGAGCCAGAATCAAGTCAGATACTTAACTGACTGAGCCAATAAGGCACACCCAGATCTCATCTTTATTTTTACTTTCTTACCATGCAGCTTGTTTGCTCTTACTGCATATCACCTTGTTTTTGTTTGCTTTCTTACTTCTCATCATTTATTCAGTTGATCATTGTCAATATCCTGCTGCTAGAATGTAAACCTTGTGAAAACTGGATTCTTGTCTGATATGTACCCCGTAATCCTCATCTTGACCTGTGCATGGTGGGCAGTCAGTGAATACTGCTTGAGTGAGTGAGTAAATGTCCATCATAACACCATGAATAGCCCTCATATGAGTTCCGGAACAGAACTGATAGAGGTCCTGTGTTTCAGAGAGCTTCTTAGGGCCAGTAGCTCTTCCAGTTTTTACTTCGAGCCCCTCTGCAGTTCTCTCATGGACTTCGAGGGCAGTGATGGCTGCCATGGGAGAGGAAGCTGAGGAATAAAACAACGTGCCGCACTTGCCAGTGCCTTGTACCCTCCCACCCAGAGCTTTGTTACTAGAGCGGGCCTGGCTCCTCTTGTCAGAGGGGCTTCTCTGAGTTCCTCAGCTCGCCTACATGCAGGTGTCCTCACCCTCTCCCACCCTGCCTCTTTCTCTTGCCCTTCTTTCTCCCCATCCCTTTCCTAAGACTTTAAGGGCATATGTGTTAGCAATCCTTGTATATTTTGATAGCACTTTGCTTTGTCCTCCGTGCAAGGGAGACTTAACCTGTTTTCTTTATTTTAGGATGGGAGAGCTTGTTTGAAACTGCAATTTCTGAAGAAGACAATCAGGCAGTAATGAATAAACTCCTAGGTGACAGTCCTTTTGACTTCAGGATGGGGAAGACCTATGTAAACGAGGACAAGCTAGAGAAGCAGCAAGGCAAAAAGAACAAACCTTTCCGGAAATTCCTAGTTACCATCAAGAACACATACCTGAGAGAGAGGAGCTTTGCGAGTATCGAGCTGGGGAAAAACCTCAGCCTGAAGTCTTCCCTTATTAGAAAACCCCGACTTGTTTCCAGGGGAAGGAAACCCCATTCACAGCAGTATTCCATTCTGTTTAAACAACTGGGAGTCAACGCAGTACGCAAATGTTACAAATGTAACATCTGTGGGAAAATCTTCCTCCACAGTTCTTCCCTGAGTAAACACCAGAGAATCCACACAGGAGAGAAGCTCTATAAATGCAAGGAATGTCGGAAAGCTTTCAGCCAAAGCTCATCTCTCACTCAGCACCTGCGAGTTCACACGGGAGAGAAGCCTTACATATGCGGCGAATGTGGGAAAGCCTTCAGTTTCACCACCTCGCTCATCGGACATCAGAGAATGCACACTGGAGAGAGACCCTATAAGTGCAATGAGTGTGGCAAGACATTTAAAGGAAGTTCATCCCTGAATAATCACCAACGGATTCATACTGGAGAAAAGCCCTATAAGTGTAATGAATGTGGGAGAGCCTTTAGCCAGTGCTCCTCTCTCATTCAGCATCACAGGATTCACACTGGAGAGAAACCTTACGAATGTAGTCAGTGTGGGAAAGCCTTTACCTCAATATCGCGGCTAAGTAGACATCATAGAATTCATACTGGAGAGAAACCCTTTAATTGTAATGAGTGTGGGAAAGTATTCAGTTACCACTCAGCCCTTATTATACATCAGAGAATTCACACTGGTGAAAAACCTTATGCATGTAAAGAATGTGGGAAAGCCTTCAGCCAAAGCTCTGCTCTGATACAGCATCAAAGAATTCATACAGGAGAAAAACCCTACAAATGCAATGAATGTGGGAAGGCCTTCTCCTGGATTTCACGGCTTAACATACACAACAGAATCCATACCGGAGAGAAACCGTACAACTGTAAAGAATGCGGAAAAGCCTTTAGTTCCCACTCAGCAGTTAATACTCATCGAAAAATTCATACTGGAGAGAAACCTTATAAATGTAATGACTGTGAAAAAGCTTTCAACCAAAGCTCAGCTCTCATTCAGCACCAGAGAATTCATACTGGAGAGAAACCATTTAACTGTAAAGTATGTGGGAAAGCCTTCAGACAGAGCTCCTCCCTCATGACACACATGAGGATTCATACAGGAGAGAAGCCTTATAAATGTAAAGAATGTGGCAAGGCTTTTAGTCAGAGCTCATCCCTTACCAATCACCAGAGGACTCACACTGGAGAGAAACTGTAAATAAAACGCATGTGGAAAATCTTCCAACTGAAGTTAATTTCATACTAAATTTCAAAAACTTCAACCTGGGCAGAAAGTGATGAAGGGTAGTGATGAAATGAGACTTCATGATGCAGATAACCTTAGGTATAGTAGGAAAACGTCTATAAAATGTTCTCCCTCCCTCCCCCATAGCTTTTAAGTTCATGACTGACTATAGAGTAGAGCGTTTGTAAGATTCTTTTCTCTTCTTCTTGGGGATACATGACGAGAGGCCCCCAGGTATCGCAAGCGTCACAGGGAAGCATGTTGATTTATGTAAAAGTGCAACCATAAAACCCAGACTTTAGATTAATGTGGGAATCTATTTTTTGAAACTATGTTTAAGTGTTACGCAAGCCAGTTATGCTGAGAAGAATGTTTTGGAGAAGAAATGTAAGCAGGTGACCTGTACTACCTCACTGTCGCTAAAATGTGTTTTTTTAATAGTTTCAAAGCCAATTCTGTGCTTGGGGGTTGTGGAAACTTTTGTGTTGTTTCTTTTCTGCTTTCCAAGTCATTTACCTGAAAGAAAATCACTCTGTAAACTCTGTGGGCTTACAGTCCTGTGAGTTTTCTCCCTGACTGTTCCAAACTCTGAAGCAGATCTGGAGTCACTTTAAGTCACAAAGTACATGGTATTTCACTTGGTTTTATCTGAAAGTGATTACCTGAATTAAAGTTTATTCAGACAACGACTGCTTTTGCAAGTTAATCTACTGATAAATGTGAACAGGTATCTGAAAATGTAGCCATAGGAACATGACTCTGGGCTCCCCGGCTGTGCCTGCTTCATAGAACTCTCTGGTTACCATCCACCAAGAAGGCCCAGGCACAGCATGGTTCACCCTCCATCCCACCTGGAGGGAAGATGAACCAGGTAACTTTGACTCCATCCCACACTCCAAGGGCCACTAGACAAAAATTCAGGCTCTGAGTTCAGTAAATGGACCGTTAATGCCCTTCAACAAGTTAGCATGTTTCAGCATTTCTAAAATGTGAGTAATAATTCCAGCAACATAAACAGTTATCTCCCAGGTCAAACTAAAATTGTTCAACTTTACTAAAGCAACATGTCTAGTTTTTGCCCGGTGTTTTCAGGAGTTGGCAAGCACTTAAGGACTGAAATGCCTATTTTGTTTAAAAAAAAAAAAAAAAAAGACAATGACGACAAGTGAGGACAAGTTTCTTTCTCTTTGTCAAAGAGTTAAAAAAAATAAAAACAGGGGTGCCTGGGTGGCTTAGTCGGTTAAGCGTCCGACTTTCGCTTAGGTCATGATCTCGCGGTTCGTGGGTTCGGGCCCCGCGTCGGGCTCTCTGCTGACTGCCAGCTCGGAGCCTGGAGCCTGTTTCAGTCTGTGACTCCCTCTCTCTCTGACCCTCCCCTGTTCACGCTGTCTCTCTCTCTCCTAGAAATAAATAAAACATTTAAAAAATAAATAAATAAAAAATAAAAACACCTCAGGAAAGGTACTTTTGGGGGTGGAGACAGAGCTAAAGCAAACCTTGAATTTAATTTCTGCTTCCTGGGACCAACTAATCAGTGTTACTATTTCAGACTTAGGAGGAGCAGACTTGTCTGGGTCATTTAATCCTTCACTGCAGTGTCCCTTTCCCCACAACCATTCTTTTTTTTTTTTCTTTTTAATTTATTTCTGGAGAGAGAGAGAGACAGTGTGAGCAGGGGAGGGTGAGAGAGAGAGGGGGACACAGAATCAGAAGCAGGCTCCAGGCTCTAAGCTTAGCTGTCAGCACAGAGCCTGACATGGGACTCGAACCCACAAACTGTGAGATCATGACCTGAGCTGAAGTCGGATGCTTAACTGATTGAGCCACCCAGGCACCCCCCACCACAGGCACCGCCACCACAACCATTCTTTCACCGTCTCTAATTTCTGGGGCAATTTCTAGGAAAATATGACTTCCCTGTCTTAGTCCCTTTAGGTTGCCATAAAAAAATACCACAGGCTGGGTGGCTTATAAACAACTGAAACTTATTTCCCACAGTTCTGAGGCCAGAAAGTCCAGGGACAAGGCACCAGCATGGTTGTGTTCTGCTGAGAACCCTCTTCCTGGTTCGTAGCTGGCGCCTTCGTGTGTCCTCACATGGCGGAAGGGGTGAGGGAGCTCTCTGAGGCCTCTTAGGGCACCAATTGCATTCATGAGGCTCCACCCACATGACAGTCACCTCCCAAAGGCCCCACCTCCCTAGTGCTGTCACTTTTGGGGTTAGGATGTCAACATGAATACTGAAGGGGCACAAACCTTTAGACCATCGCATTCTCCAAGTAACAACAGTCCTAAAAATAATTCCCCAAAATAAATCTGAACAAAGTTACACAAAGAAAGTGTCAGGCCCTGTTACTTTTTTGTTTGTTTGTTTATTTTTGAGAGAGACAGAGAGAGTATGAGACGGGGGGGGGGGTGAGTGTGTAGAGAGAGAGGGAGACACAGAATGTGAAGCAGGCTCCAGGCTCTGAGCTGTCAGCACAGAGGCTGACGTGGGGCTTGAATCCACGAACCGTGAGATCATGACCTGAGCCAAAGTCAGATGCTTAACTGACTGAGCCACCCAGGTGCCCCCTGTTACTTTTAAGTTGAGGTCTATCAAACGAGTAACAGATCATTAGGAGATCATGTACCAACACAGTGATTCTATTAAAACTGAGTATCAGAACCTTCAAGGAAAATACAAGAAAGAAAACTTGCAGGCCTGTATCACCCATGAACAGAAATGTAAACATCCTAAACAAAGCATTAGAAAATGTAATCCAGAATTACCTAAACATAGTGAATGCATCATGATAGAGATTTTTCTTTTCTTTTTTTAAAAAATATTTAATGTTTTTTACTTATTTGTGAGAGAGAGAGAGAGAGAGAGACAATGTGAGCAGGGGAGGGTCAGAGAGAGAGAGACACACAGAATCCGAAACAGGCTCCAGGCTCTGAGCTGTCAGAACAGAGCCTGATGCGGGGCTCGAACGCACGAACTGCGAGATCATGACCTGAGCCGAAGTCAGACACTTAACTAACTGAGCCACCCAGGCACTCCAAATAGAGATTTTTCACGGGAACAGATGGATTATTTAGCATTAGGAAACTTTGAGATACGTGTACCACCTAGAAAGGTTAAAGGTGCAGAATCTGTATGTTCATCTCAATAAATGCAGACAAAGCAGTGAAAATACTCAGCGCCCATTCATTGTAAAAACTCTTAGCCAAGCAGTGGAGAGAGCTTACTTAACCTGGTAAAAGGGTATTTACCAAAAACCTGCTGAAAAGATAGTAAAATGTTAGAAGTAGTTATGACAGGAGTATAGAGAAAGGACAAATTATGCAGTAATGGCTCTGAGAAAAACAGTTCATCCACATAGAAGAAAAATTAGATGTCTACCCTTACCACAAAAAGAATTCTGTGAGAGGCAAAACTGTATCTTTTGGAAGAAGATGTAAGGCATAACTTTATGACCTCAAGCTAGGGAAGGATTTTTTTAAAGTAGGCTTCATGCCCTATGTGGAGCCCAATGTGGGCCTTGAACTCACATCCCTGAGATCAAGACCTGAGCTGAGATTAAAAGTCAGACGCTTAGCTGACTGAGCCACCCAAGCACCCCAGTAGCTAGGATTTTTTTTTAAATGTTTGTTTATTTTTGACAGTGTGAGCGAGGTAGGAGCAGAGAGAGAGGGAGAAGGAGAATCCAAGTAGGCTCTGTACCACCAGCACAGAGCCTGACAAGGGGCTCAAACTCGCAAACTGTGGGATAACCTGAGCTAAGAGTCAGGCAGTTAACCGACTGAGCCACCCAGGTGCCCCAAGGATTTTTTTTTTAATGTTTATTTGTAAGAGAGTGTACATGTGGCACAGAGAAAGGGGGACAGAAGATCTGAAGTGGGCTCTGTGCTGACAGCAGAGAGCTGGATGTGGTGCTCAAACTCATGAACTGTGAGATCATGACCTGAGCCGAAGTTGGACACTTAACCGACTGAGCCATCCAGGGCCCCTAGGAAGGAGTTTTTAAACAGGATACAAATAAGCTATGAAATCTCTTTATATATTTGCTCACATTAAAATAAAGAACACTCAGTTATCAAAATATGCCAAAAAGGAAATGAAAAGTCAAAACATAAAATACGAGATCTTTCCACGGCATTAAAAAAAATTTTTTTTAACGTTTTATTTATTTTTGAGACAGAGAGAGACAGAGCACAAGCAATGGAGGGTCAGAGGGAGAGAGAGACACAGAATCTGAAGCAGGCTCCAGGCTCTGAGCTGTCAGCACAGAACCTGATGAGGGCTCAAACCAATGAAATGGGAGAAAGATCATGACCTGAGCCGAATTTGGATGCTCAACTGACTGAGCCACCCAGGCGCCCCTCCACAGCATTTTGAACAAATGCTTATCATCTAGAAAATTTAAATAATGTATACAAATCAACTTAAAGAAAAAGACAACCTTGTAGGAAAATAAAGTGAATATATGGCTACGTATTTCACAGAAGAGGAAATACAAATTTGTAAAAACATGAAAAGATGCTTTCGGGATCGCAGATAGTGACTTTATGAGATTTTGTGACTTTTTAAAATAGACCTTATTTACTTTTTATTTTTTTAGTCGGCTCCAAACCCAACTAAGGCTTGAACTCACAACCCCGTTGTCAGGAGTTGCACACTCCACTGACTGAGCCAGCCAGGCCCCCCAGATTTTATGATTTTTTAAAGATGAGTAAAAATGAAGATGTGTGACATTACTGAGTTTTAGAATGTATGTGAAATAACTGGAATGTATACTTGACTAGTGGGAGTGTAAATTGATACAGACCATTAGCATCATATGAAGTCAGTTTGAATTTGTGCATGTACTGAAATAAAGAAGTTCCATTCCTATGTGTATATAATAGATAAATGTTTGCATATGAGAAGTAAGAGACATGTATATTCTTAGTAGCACTGATCATAGTAGCTACTGTTTGGAAGTATTATCTGACTGATGAAAGGAAAATGGATAATTTTGGAATATTAACAATGTAAAGCAGCAGTGAAAATGAATGAACCTAAGCTATAAGCA